GGATAAATACTATAAAAAAGATGGTGTATCCACCTAGAAACAAACCTGAGCCAAGAAATGTATTAATTAATCAAGCAATCACTCATGTGAAAGAAACAAAATCCCTTTGGCTGATTCTTATGTAAGATTCAATGGTAAGTGTAGTAATTCAGAAATATTACCTTTTTCCTTCACCAAAAATCATTATAATAAGCTTTTAGCTTTTATTCAACCGCTAACAACAACTTTTATAGTTAATATAGTCAGTATACAACATATTAACACACTTTGCAAACTTCCAAGTCACATCTGATTCAGGTAACATTTTCTTTCTTTTTCTCATATAGCAATGTCATAGTTAGATGATTGCATTATTATTAGGGGCTATAGATCATATAGTCTATTCTATTAAGTTTTTTGTCTTATATAGACCAGTAGATAATAGTTCAAGTTACAAAATTCTAAAATAGTAAAAGTCACACATATAGGTGATGTACATATGTCACCTATTTTTGTTCATCATAATGCCCTATTAGTACCATATTTTTCATTCAACCTCATAATAATTAGTTGTTTACTTCAACATTCAAAATATTGTTTGATCTTCTATAACAACTATTGTATTACCCAGGACATTCACAACCATAGGATGATTGGTTTAACTAGAGATAGACATAGACTATATATCATCTTGAAGTTGTAAAAGACCAAGAATTCACCACATTGTTAATTATCTTGTAAAATCAAATTCCTTTACTGTTTCTTGTGTAATTGATAATAAAAATTTGTGGCATTTTCTTCTTGATCATTCTTTTTCACCAAGACTACAAGCAGTTCGTCAAATAGACAAGTCCATCACTTTTTATTCAACCTTTGTATGTGACATTTGTCATTTTGCTAAACAAAAGTAACCACCTTTTTCCATAATTAATTCAATAAATACTTATTGTTTTGACCTATTACATATTGATATTTTTGGTCCTCTTTCAATTACTTCTTTATGTGGTCATCATTAGTCTTCACCAAGACTACAAACACTTCGTCAAATAGACAAGTCCATTACTTCTTGTTTTATATGTGACATTTGTTATTTTTTTAAATAAAAGAGACCATCTTTTCTCATAAGTAATTCAATAAATACTCATTGTTCTGACCTAATACATATTGATATTTATGGTCCTTTGTCAATTATTTCTTTATATGGTCGTCATTATTTCCTAATCATTATTGATGACAAGAGTACATATACATGGTTGTACTTTATTGAAAATTAAGGTATAAGTGAGGAAGATTGTATCCAACTTATTTGCATACGTTGAAACACAATTTAATGCAAAAATAAAATGCATTTGGATAGATAATGGAAAAGGATTCAGCATCCCTGAATTATATGCTGGAAAATGAGTTTACATCAATATCCTGCTTATATACACCATAGCAAAATAGTGTGATGGACAAAAAAATATCAACACATTATGAACGTGGCAAGATCAGTATGATTTTAAGCCAATTTATCCAGGAAATTCTAGATAGATTGGCATTGCATGCTACATACTTAATCAACTGTACACCTTCTCCAATCATCAACAATAAAACTCCATTTGAGCTTTTATTTCATACTCCTCTAAAATTTCAGCATCATGATGCATTTGGATATATATGTTATGTGTCAACAATTGAACCTCAAAGATCAAAATTTGCCTATCGTGCCACAAAGTGTCTTTTCTTTGGATATGCTTATCATGTTAAAGGTTTTCGAGTTTATGATCTTGAGTCACAAAAGGTATTTGCTTCCAAAGATGTTAACTTTGTTGAGTATATGTTTCATTTTTCTTCCATTGTAACCATAAATTCAAATAGCTTTATTTTCCCTCATACTTATGATTCTATAATAGAATTTAATAGTGATTTAATTAGGTCTTCAAGTTGTCAATATAATGCAGAATATGCCAGCTTAAGTGAACAAATCAACCCTAGTAATATTCCCTTATCTCGTTCTATTTTTTCAAATAATCATGCAATTGAATTTAGCAACACTCATAGTAGCCCTCATACCAATACAGATCTTATTAATGCTAATAACCATTCTACTTAACCACCTAGACGATCAACTAGGCCTACAAAAAGCAACTATCTCATTTACAGGATTATTATCTATATGTTATGCCACATTAATTCCAATATATCAACTCCTCATTGCATTTCTCCTATCCTTTTATACATCAAAATCAATGATTCCCATAAAACTTCTGTACTTATCGTCTCTCAAGATAAAGAACTAAAAACCTATAATCAAACCATTCAATTCCCTTGGTAGAAAGATGAATGCTTATTGATATTAAGGCACTAGAAGAGAATCAAACTTGGGAATTAATCACTTTAC